TCTCTTTCATCAAGATTAGATAGCGTGTATCATATCATAAGCCGGTTTTTGAAAGTTTGATAAGAATGTTACATTAAATCAACTTTGAAAAGATAGATAAAATATCTCGGATGATGCTGATACTTGTGCTTGATTGCATTCATATCTGATGTTTGCCAAAAAGATTGGAAAAGTTGGTTTGATTACAGAAAAATATAAATCACTTTATAAGAATATGTTTGGATCTTAGACGAAGAAGCTCCTAATTTGTTGTTTAAAGGACAATTGAATTTTTTAATAATAATTTTAAAACAAAAACCCTTCAATAATAATTCAAACAGAAAATTAAAAATTGAAGCTCAGAATCAGATTTCTCTGAAAGACGTTTTTTTATAACCTTTTTTACAAATAGTACATATTAATCTGAACTCTCAGTCACGAATATTAGTTTGGACCGCGTAATCCCCCCCATTACTTAAAATTTAAATAAGTAAATTACTTCCATGTATAATTTTCGACCCTTAGTTCAACACTGCTTTAAGAATTTTAGCATTGTAAAGGGTCAAGTAAATTTTAGTACCAACTTACGTCAAAATTTAATAAGAAATGTCAAGTAACTTTTGCACCTGGTATTATTTATTAGTTACAATATTTGAATATACATTCACGCGTTTTTGAGCTCAACCCTTCACCCTGAAGGAAATATTATTTTGCAAAGTACGAGACGTGTTCGGAAACTAAGTACCTTCTCGTTCTACCGCAACCGTAGATGTAGTTTTACAGTTCAGCCTTTGCGCATGTGTGTCTGGTTGATTGTGAGTTCAATGGCGCTGTTGCAGCCATTGTTGTTTTTACACGCGTTGATAAGCGTTCAAAATGCTTAAGACGATCTATCCAGCCGGACAATGAAGTGTGTTTTGTAATCTGTATTTTGAACCCAAGGAACGCCATGGCAGTTGAGATTCATCTTCATTTTATAGAGATTTATGGTGAAAATGTAATGGGGGTGGAGTGGTAAGAAAGTAGGTTCAACAATTCAATGATGGGTGAACCAATGTTAATGACGAAGCACAGAGTTGGCGGCCTTCTGTTGTCATTGATGGTTTGGTTGAAAAGAGAATGAAAAATACGTGGAAACAGACGGTTCACAATAAGATTGTTTTGTAATGAGTTTCCTCAAATTTCCAAAACTATTCACTGGCAGCATCGCTATTTAAAGAGGATATGGACAAATATTGGTTTCCCAATATGAAAAATTCGTGGAGTAGGAAAAAAAAGTTCAATATGCTCTTTCATAGAAAGATAAATTTTGTTTCGAAAAAAGATTTTCTATGCGAATTTTTCCCAAACTGTGCTTAGTTTCCAGACATCTTCCGTATATAAGATGACCAACCATCCTCCTTTAGGGATGACAGTCCTTCTTTTATAGGTTCTGTCCTTCCTCAAAAAGTGTCTTCCTACTTGTGTGTCCTCCTTTTTCAATATTTTAAAACTAATCTATTAATCTGTATTTTAAGATGCCAGACCGAACTGCTACGCGCTGTTTGAAGAAATTTAATCACTGAACGTTTATATTTAAGTTCTATTAAATTAGAACAGTGGGGAATCAACCTGTTGAAATTGATAAAAGATATGGGGAAATATTCCACCATTTCAAAAATGAATACATTCCATATGAAAATTTAGTTATTCTTGTTGAATTTACGTTGTGCTCTCCCCTGGAACTAATGCAGCAGTTCAAAGAGTTTTAAGTTTTTTTTAATTGGTAATGATTTTTTGCCAAGTGAGAATTCAAGATTGAATGTAGCTGCTTTATAGCTGCAGCACTTACCGTAAAATTTAATATGAAGGATATTTCTTGCTCCGAAATTTCCAATACATTAGAAAATGACATATTGACAAAAATTCATTCAATGGAAAAATACTCGTTTAAGTAAGTAATTAAAAGGGATGTAAGCGTAATTAGTGTATTCTTGTTTGAATCAATAAAATGTTTCATAAATTTACGTTGTAATATTTTCTTAAATTTTTCGTCCTCCTTTTTAATGTTAAAAAACTGGTCACCTTACCATTTAAGATTTTAGAAGTATCCCTTTCAATTTTGATTGTTTCTAAATTCGATACCTCCAAACATTCTACTTAAATAATAAGACATTTTTTTAAATAGAGATAAAAAAGTTTTTATTTAAAAAAAATACGAATGGGAAAAGTACGCTTTCGTCAGTGTTTTAAAGATTATTTTGTTTTTATCCTAAATACTACGTAATTATTCTTTTATGTTCGTTCTTCTGTGTCTATGGGTATCATATGACTGTTTTCAGGAGAGTTTTGATAAGTCTGAGCATATCACGTGACTCGGAGTGATGAAACAAATCGTAAAAAATTTTTGTGCACTTTCGCTGACAAAACATTTATATTCCACATTAACCTTCTTACAATGAGATTACGCAATATATGAAGTCATCAAAATTTATTACTTCGGAAAATTTATTCTTGTGTTGATGATTCAGTTAATGATTAATGATTTAGTTTAATTTTTTTTTAATAAAAGAATGTTATGTTTTTCCTAATTATAATATTTCCAAGAGTATTGGTTAATTAAATGTATTGTATAAATGTAATTCTGAGTGTAGACGAAGACAAACCATTTGATAATTTATGTTACTTAATTAATATAAATAAATAAAACCTTGATTTTGGTTTTTCGAACATCAATGTTCTTTTTGAAATTATAATTAAATTCTGAAAGTTGCTGGTGGCCTCGGTAGTCTAATGGTCAAGGTAACGGGCTCATGTCAGGCATGTTATGAGTTCGCGACTAGTACCTCTGAAGACCCGCCGTGCAGAGTGGACCAATGCATGTTAAGTATGTCGAGGTTCAAACATTCTTCCGTTGGTGTGGAAGTTAGGAAAAAGGAGTGTCATTCTCGTCACTTGACCATGGTTCAAAATTACGAGGTCCGTCGTCAAAAGCCTTGGACTACCTGAATAATGTGACGCTAATATTCATTCACTTACTGAAAATTACTAATTAAAAAAAATTATCTTGTTCATAATGCATTAAAAATTGTATTACACATCTTGATTTAATATTTATTTGAAGATTTATCGAAATCACAATTATTTTTCCAAAAGTTCTATCAATATTGATCTTTATAAACCATGCTACGAAAATGGTATTAAATTAATATTATTTTAATATTGTTTAGACCAGGAATGAAGGCAACTAGCTAGAACTTTGTTTTCCATCAAGACAGACAGAAGTATCCCCTTTGAAACTGAAATTCTTTTCCGTGCGCGATCAAAGATTCTTTTTTTTCTTTTTCACTATAAGGAAAACAAAATATCTGAAAGTGTTCCTATTATGAAATCATCTACAAAGTTTGAAGGACGAGATAACATGAAGAATTTAGGATTTTTAAGAAAACTAAGCCTAAATTCAACTTGCTCTGTTATTCCATTACTGCTGATATTGATACAGCACCTGAGGAGCTACGGTTTGAGCTTAGTGATTTACAAATAGATTACAGTTTGAAGGAAATGTTTAATACTATGACATAGGTTTTTACAAATCTTTGTCAGCTAAAAAATTTCCATGTGTGAAGAAATTTGCGGGGAAATTTTGTTCTCTCTCTATCTCTCTCTCTCTTTATATTTCAGTCGACTTTTTTATAATAAATACAATAATTTTAAAAGGGGGTGGTCCTTCGGTATTCTCCGCTCTCACAACGTAGCCCGCGAGCCGAAACAAGTTGCTCATCCCTGACTTAGACAAATCACACATACATTCCTTTTTCCAATCCCTACTATTAGTTCACCCTCACCCTATATATATTTATTTATATATATCGTGTTCAAATTTTCAATCCCCAGTTAATAAAATATATACTTTCTATTCCTCCATTCTAATTTTTAATAAAATAATTAAAAATAAACAATTTTTTTTTTAAAACTTGTAGTGGATGACACTTGATGTTAATACAGTTTTTTCAAATACTGGTTCATTAGTTAAACTTAATTAATGAATAAATAGTAACAAACAAAAATAATAGTCCAATACCCTAGATCAGGGATGGCGAACCTTTTTCGATCAATGTGCCATTTTTTCTAAAGAAATGTATAAGGACGTATAGATGTGCTGTAGAATAATTTTGACTTGTGGTTATTGGGAAAAAAATAAAAAACTGAATACTAACAACTCAAAATTCTTTATTTACTACGAAAAAGTATATTTTTCTCTATATGGTAGTAAATATTTGAGTTATACATGCAGTTCAAATTATGAAGTAGCATCTGTTGTTGCAGATGAAATGATAAATAACTTATGTTAGGTTTGCAAGATGTTACTTTAAGCACAGAATGCAAGCTGAATCGGAGTCATCTGACAAACGGTTTTTAATGTTATTCATCTCTGAAAATAATGACGCGCAAGCACAGGTAGATGAAAATACGGTTACAATAGCATGGGCCAGCTTTTTCAAACAGTAAGATGTGCTTGTATTCAAACTCCAAGTTCTCGAAATTTCGTTAAAATTTCTGTTTCAATTAATTCCAATTTTTCCCTCGCGTTTCTATACATTTTTGTATCTACATTGGAATCAGACTGGAAATACAGATGAATATTACACTGTAAATCAATCAGTTGCATTTCAAATTCTAATTTTCAACTAATCAAATTGAAACAAGTTCAGTTTATCAGATGAAGTCACATCAGGGTACATAACAAACTTGAGCGTTTACGATAACTTTTTGAACTGAGGAAATCTCGCCGAAAATTCCTTGATTGAAGAATCAGTTACAGAAATAAATTCCTCAATAAGTCTCTCTTTTTCTTCGTCTGGTTTTTCATGTACTCCTAAATCTTTGCTATTTTTTTCAAGCTTGAGAAGTACTTGTAGTTTCTTGTAATAATAATAAATGATCGGTGGTGTGCCAAAAATATTGTGTGGCGTGCCATCAATGGCACGCGTGCTATAGGTGCACCATCCCTGCTCTAGATAAAAAGGAAAATCGCTCGTTGTGTCCCTGTAGCGCAATGGATTACGCCTTGGACTCCTAATCCAAAGGCCGTAGGTTCGAATCCTACCTGGAATTACCTAATTTCTGAGAAAGTCATTTATGAATGAATAAATAGTAACAAACAAAACGATTAGTCCAACACCTTATATAGAAAGGAAAATTACAAAGAAAATCGCTTTCTAATTTGCCCCTTAATAGAATGATTCTGTCATATGTATATACATGTTTATATTAATAATTATTTAATAAAAAGTAACTAAAATATAAAATTTTTCTTTGTTCACCTAAGTAGGAATTGACTTGTGATTTTTTAAAATATTACTTGTGTATTCTAGATCCATTTTATGAATTTAGGAAGAGTTAAAACAAAAGAATCTAAGGTAGTTAGAAGAAGATTAAATATCAAACAAGTTTAAAACATTTCGCGCGTTCCAATTACAATACTTTGTGAAATATTAAAATGTTAACGGTTAAAATACGATGATAAATACAGCTTATAAATATAAGTAATATGAATATAAATGAGTTTTATGAAGATTGATTGCATTAAAAATTCAAAAATAGAATAAATTTCTGTACGTTCTATTATTATATTTTTCACAGATTCTAACAGAAAGACCGTGACACATATAGAAGTGCAATGTTACTAGGCAACCATTTTTTATTGTTTAGAATAGAATGAAAATATTTTTCTGGTTAATTTTGGCCAAAATCGTGTTTCATGGTAGTTGGGCACATCATATGTATAAATATATATGTAGTACTATTTTCTTAAACATTATACTTTTATTTTAAATGAATGTTAAGACTTTTTCACTTCCAAAGCAGCCTTTGTTTGATTTAATGACACATAAAAGTAAAATTCGAACATTACAACTTCTGGACAAAGTACATGAAATTTGGTTTTAAAAAATAATTCCTTTTTTGTGTTAAAAACCCTGTTATTATTATTTTCATGAAGTTTAATGTTCAGTAAAACTTGGACTTCGGCGCATGTCTTACGGATGTTCATAAAAATTTGTTTTTAGAAGTTCATTTTTCTAAAAAGAATGCACATGTGTGGTGGAATGCCTTGATTAGGTTATTTGTTTTATTTTAATATAGAAATTATAATAATATTTATAAAGATATACCAGAACATAAAACAAACGAGCCCCATGGGAAAGGAAATTTCTTACATACAGTTAAGAAATATATGTTGTGACACAGGCAAAATGTGCTCAGAAAACAAAATTCAACGAATATACCGGCAAATTAAGATTTAACAAGCAAATAAATTATTAATAATAATTATAATAATCATTTGAATAATAATAATAGCTAATTTATTCATAACTCGAATTTTTTTCTTTCGAATCAGTAGAGCATAAAGGACAGTATACTTTTTAAACGTTTAATAAGAGAAAAATTGCTAAAATGAATAAACAAGTAGAATTTAGTACAAAGAGATTAATTCCTGTTAAAAATAAAAATACTAGGTAACATATATATAAAAAAATGCAACCGAAAGAATAAAATACAATATATTTCAAATTTATAGCATTAAACCACGAATATATATGTATAGACTTTCATATATATGTTGTATGTATATTCATAAATTAGTAAGATTTGTAATTCGTAAGGATTCATTCCTAACCGTGATTTTGCAAAAGCGTATAACTGAATAATTTTTTTGGTATTTAGTTTCAGTTGTGTGTGTGTGAATTAGAATATGCATGCAAAATTTTTTAAAAATTTTATTGCAATAAAAATATCTAAATACATTTTTTTTGGCAAATTAAGAAGAATGGATGACATATTTTTAAAACATTTTCTTTTTATGAAAAATTCTTCTATGATAATAATATTTAGCCCATAGGACTTCTGTACAGAGTCTGAACTAGGATTTTTCAAATATATAATTTAGAAGTGGATTTATTGTTATTTTAATATATCATAGCGGAGAAATTTTGACAAGAAAAACAGTGGTTATTGTTTCAGTTGATTTTAACTCTGAAAATGGATGTGAAGTTTACAAAACTCCTTGTTTAGGCTTCATGTCGTAGTCATAAGCTATACATAACCAAAATATAATTATTATCGAAGCATTTTTCATAAAAGGAGAATGTTTTGAATATATATATATATATATATATATATATATATATATATATATATATATCTTATTTTTTGCTAAAAAATTGCATTTAAAAGGAAACTTATAGTAATAGAATTCTTAAAACAATTTCGTATGTGTATATCATAATTCAATTGGTACTAAATACAAAAAAAAAAATATTCATTTATATATATTTTTTAAAATCACGATTGCACAAATGTAGTCAATTACCTTTTAAAATAAATAATATATCAAATGTTAATAAGAAAGCTGTCATCAAAAAATAAAAATAGAAATACAGTAATTCGACCTACAATAACCCCACCCCCCACCCCATAAAACATATTTTGACACTTGAATTATATGAGAAGAAACAGAAAAACTCATTAATATATGGAACTTAATATTACATGCATTAATTCATTTTTAATCAAAAGAAAAGGAACAATGAGTTTCAAGCAATTTAAATTAAAGCACATTTTAAAAGATTATATAATGAATAATTTTTAATTTTTTTAAAAAGCTCTGCAGTTAAACTTGTTTAAAAAATAAAGCGCATTGAATATTCAAACTAATTTCGCAGAAAGTAAATAAAATGGAATTTTCACGTGTTTTTGGAGATGCGCAGAAGTCCGTTTTTTATGACGTCGTGTTTTTACATGCAGAGTAGTGGAATTATACTTCACCTGCTAGGGTGACCAACTAACAATATGGCACTTAGGCTTAGGAGTTTATGGGTAAATGTGAATAAATAATTCTCTCTCTTGCCACGTCAAGGCCATTCTCGATGCTTTCGCGAAAAACAACTGCAAATTTCCTCGCGGGAAAAGTGATTGTTAACACTGATCTTCGAATCTTCCCTTGTAATTTTTATTTAATGAAATTGTTAAAACAAACTAGAATTCTTTTTCGAATTCTAGTTTTTTTTTCAGGTTTGTTTGTCGTCTTGTTTGGAAATATTTTTCGAATTTTACTTTTCTCCTTCAAGATTGTATTTGAAATCGTTTGATAAGTTAAAAATGTGTGACGAAGGCTTCCGCCATTTTTTAAAAATTTAAAACTGTTCGATTTTTGATGCACGTTTTCAGTGTACGTAATTTGATCAAACATGAATCCAAAGAAAATTGTTCTTTCTTTTTTTCTGCCACTTTTACAATAATTACATTTTGCGTATAAATTTATTCGAGAAAACATGTAGAAACAGAATTTGTATTTAAAGATGTATTCCATATAAAATATCCACAATTTTTTTATTTTAACATTTATATATCTCCAGTAAATATTTAAATTTGCTGTGAATTTAAACATTAAAATAATTTTAATGCATAACGTCTTCAGTTTTTAATTAGTCAAATAATTTTAATATCAGGTTTATATTTGAACATTGCTAGTAAATTCCTTATGTTACTGAAATTTTTAAATGTGATTTCCGATTAGCAAAATGAATTGTGGTATGATAAATGTTTTGAGCTTTCAATTTAAAAAGAATTGAATTAAGAAATTTATATTTAAACTTTAATGCGTTTTATTAATGTTCCATTATGAGGGATAAAAAAAGTGATATGTACGTATTTGAGTTTTTAAAAATGAGTACCATGTCGTTATATACATAAATATTTTAATGGTGTTTTTTAAAAAAAAAAAACAGCATATTTAACAAGATTCCGTTTTAAAGTAAATTTCTTTTAAAATAAATCCATGTAGTATGTATTTTAAAGTTTACATTTACTTATGGTCAAATCACAGCAGAAACAAATTTTGTCAATAAATTTCATGTATATAGTTTTTTGGATAAATACTTTCTTTATCATATTAAGGTTCGAATATTTTTTATGTTTCATAATAAATTCACTTCTGTTTACTAGCCTTTGTTGAAAAAAAATGAGGAAATGTATGATAATTACTTTTTAACATTTTAAGCATATTTAATTTTTCCCTTCAAGTGGAATATAGATAAAAAAAATTTGGAATTATCTCTCTTGACAATGCGAATTAATGTGATATTCCATTTGTGTATAATACATTTTTACTGTCTATATATTACGATCATCAACAGTAAAAATTTTCGTTCATCTGTAAATTATTTTTAAAAATCATTGCTCTTATATAATTATAAACAAAAATGCTCTTATAGAATTATATATAATTACAGGCCCGCTGGTTACCGTAGTTGATTTGTCGCTAGCCTTCTGCCCTCAAGTTTGCAGATTCGACCCCGGCCCAAGTCGGTGGATTTTCATGACGCAGAAAATCGACAGCGGCCATGTCGTATGATTATGCAGCATGTAAAAGATCCCCTCAGTGCTTGTTTGGCTTAGGTGCTCTCGGAAAAATTAAATCCCTAGAACAAGTTCGCATCATCCGAGCTCAGGTGCCTCCCTCTGGAGAGAAAACTGGGCGTCAAAGTTACTTGCGGCAATTGGTATCGCCTACATGGTGCCACATAAAAAAATGATACCAGCTCCTGGGGAATGCACTAGGTCTGCAATGGTAAAGATACCAATCTGCAGGCCCTTTAGAAAAAAAATTATTATAAAGTTTATTGATTTAAGAAATGTGAATATTCCACATTTTTATTTTAAAAAAAAATGTTTTTTTGCCTAAAAATATAAAATTACGTTAAAATTAATGTATTGATTGATTGTTTCATTTTATGGCACAAGAGCCAAATTAGGATAAGCTGCGTCAAACAATGATTAATCAAAATCTATTTTAATTCTAAATCAAAGGTAATGTGATAGATAACGTTTAAAATGTATAATTCAGTAAAATTTTATTAAGAAAATATAGTAATGTAAAAGTTTTTTTGATTCTCACATAACGAAAAGAAATTTATTTATAAAAAATCAGATGATATAAAATAAAATCTTTTAAAAATTATATCTGATGTAAAACATCGATTGAATGTGAGAATGCAAATGGATTTGGATGGCGGTTTTATCCAATCAAATCAGATAAGGATAAAACAGATATA